CCATGACTCCATCTGCATATGTAGCACAGGATTGCCTTATCTGGCATCAATGAGAGGGGAGGACCTTGGTCCTATTTAGGCTTCATGTCCCATTGTGGTGGGATGCTAGGGCAGTGAGGCAGGAGTGGGTGAATAGGGAACACTCTCATAGATGCATGGGGAGGGGGCATGTGACAGAGGGTTTGCAAAGGGAAGAACAGAAAGGGGGAAATATTTGGAATGGAAATAAATAAAATAATCAATAAAAAAGAATCTGAGTTGGCACTTGCACATAATTCATAAATTTAGCTTTTTCATAGACTCTCAGAATTCTGTCTTTCAGTCCATCTGAGGTTTTCTCCTTAGGGGACATAGCTATTGAATTGGTTACTTAGTAGTTAGACATACTGTCTGGATTTTTCACATTGTTTGTGTTTTTCTGATAGGAACTGGATATTTTAATTTAGACTGTTGGCTGCTGCTTTTGGTGGTGGTGGTGGTGGTGGTGGTGATGGTGGTGGTGGTGGTGGTGATGGTGGTGGTGATGTATGTGTGTGTGTGTGTGTGTGTGTGTGTGTGTGTGAATTTCTCCAGTAGGCTTTAATCCTAAAGTGGCATTACACTGGGTATCTTGGGGTGTCTGAAGGGATGAAGCCTTGGCTGGGAATCTGGGTCCAGGGCAGAGTGTCCTATCACATCCAAGTCTGGTCTAGGCCACAGCAATCCTGTAGAATGGCTGGGTCTGAAGTCAGAGGAGTGTTGTGAGATGGTATTACATTAGGGATAGGCTGGGGTCATGATGGTGTAGAAAAACACACCTGAGTTGAAGAACAATGTGATAGAAAACTTGGGGTGGTGTGGGCTCAGACTTTTGGGAGAAGATCACTGATCTCAGTGTAGATTGTGGTAAGGAACCAGTGATCAGCCAATAGAGATCAGGATCTTGACTGGTCTGACGAACTCACCAGAGCTGGTGTAGCCATGTTGAAGCTATCTTGATTAATCCCATTCCTACTGTTGATTAAATACTAAGGGTGACTTTCTGTGCCTGAGATGAGGTAGGTGACCTCCAAGGAGCTATTGGCTGTAAATGGTTTCAGGGGGAAGCAAATCAATAGATTTCCCCATGCTCTCATGCAGTGGTTCTCAACAAATGGGTCTCCACCTCTTTGTGGCTAGAATGACCCTTTGACAGGGTCACATATCAGATGTTCTTCATATCAGATACTTACATTATGATACATACCACTGGCAAAATTAGTTATGAAGTAGCAATAAAAATAATTTTATGGTTAGGCATTACCACAACATGAAAAAATGGTTTAAAGGGATACAGCATTAGGAAGGCTGATAACCCATTCTCTAATGGATGGACCCACACCCATACCCAAATGTGAAGACTAATTAGACTTGTGGGTCATAAGAAGAAAGCCTTTCTTGCTTTAAAGGTTTCCATCAAGTAAGTAGCTATTAGTGTGATGTCTCTCCCCATGTTGTGACCCGAACCTTCTCTCTTGAAGCTTTCAGCACCCTTTCTTTAGCCTATGATTTGACCTTAATACATCATGGATAATTTCTTTTCTGGTACTGCCTACTTGGTGTTCTGTGGGCCTTCTTACCTGAGTGAGTCTTTCTTTGTATTTGGGAAAATTTCTCCTATGAGTTTACTGAGAATATCATGCATGTTTTTGATCTGGAGTTCTTCTCTGTCATCTATATTATAAAGATGAAAAGAGCATTTGTAAAGGAGTATATGGTGGGAGCTAGATGGCAGTAAATGAAAAACGCTTATGATTATAATGTATACATGTGTGGACTTCTCAAAAGTAAAGCAGAATTAAAAATCAATTAATAGGGATTCAATAGGGGCTGCAACAGAACTAAACAAAGAGCTCTAAAGAGAAGAGACATAAATATCTCGTAAGAAACGTTTTAAAGTCTTCAACATCCTTAACCACTTGGGAAATCCAGGTTAAAGACACTTAAGATTCCTCTTACTCTGTAATTTTAATTTTTTCAAAACTTGGTTTTAATGATGATTCTTAAATGCTATAACCTCCATTGTAGCCCACCATCAACATGAGGTACTGGAAAAGATAGGATAGGATGAAGTATACCTGTTTAGAAAGGCTTTTTGGAGCAGCTCCTGTCTATGTTGTCTGGAAATCAGCAGTTGAGTTCATAGATTAGCAGGCAGCAGCAGCTCAATTCAATCCAAAACACTTCACAGATACACCAGCAGTCCAGTTCCATAGAGTGGGATAGCAACAGCAGTGACATGACCTAGTAGGGACAGCCAGGTCTCAACCTCATCTGCATCAGCAGGAGGGGCCCAGAGGGATACCAGGAGAAGTTCTAGGCTGTGCCTCTCTCAGGGAAACTAAGTTAAGTGAAGACATGACACCCACAAGTATTGCACAGCTAGCTGAACCATCAAGCCATGCTCTATCCCTGCCATTTCATGGAGTTCAATTTATACCCTCAAACATCTTGTCTTCCATGGGCCTTGCCTCAGCATGTATCTTGCATTGGTACACAGCCCAAGTCTAAGGAAGCAGCAAGAAATGGCAATACAGCACAAAAAGTTTAGAGCATGTTTCTCTCTATGAAGTCCTGACAAATGCCACTCAACTATGCAAGATAAGGCAGACTAATACATGCATATTCTTAGCATAGAATCCTTTATCATGAATCCTTTCACATGCTTGCTTTAGTAGAACTTCCTTTCACCTGTGTCTGCTTCAGTGAAACCTTTCCTCACAAGTCTGTCTGAGCCTTTCACTCCTGTGTTTACTTTCATGTGTTGGCTCCAGCAAAATACCATTCAACTGATTTTCCAAAGAACCCTTACATTTCCACTTCATTACTCCAGAACAATGGCCATTATCAAGATATGAACAATAAATGCTGGTGTAGATATAGGGAGAATGAAACTCTTTACATTGTTCTTTGGAATGTAAACTAGGTGCAGCTAGATTAGAAATCAGTTTGGAGATTTCTCAAACTCTCTACCCCTAATAACAACAACAACCCCCCAACAACAAAGAACTCCTACCACATGGTCGACCTAAGTCACTCCTGAGCACTTATCCAAAGGACTCTATAATCTCTGATATGGATATCTCCACATCCATGTTCATTACTGCCATATTCACAGTAACTAAGAAATGGAAGCAGCTTAGCTGTCCATCAATTGATGAATAGATAATAAAGATATGCTACTTATATTTTTTAAAAGAAGGAAACATTTCAGGAAAATGTTTGAAGTGGGAATTTTATTTTTTCTCAGTGACATAACCCAGGACTCCAAGCACAAACTCTGCACGTCCTCTCTCATATGAGGATTCTAGCTATATGAGTGTATGGTTTTGTGCGTCTGACATGGAGTAACTGTGGAAGCCAAGAAAAAGCAAGGGACAGCAGAAATTACCTCCAAATGTGTAGCAATAGTAAAACATAGACAGTAAAGAAATGGAATACTGAAGTAGAAAGGTTTAGGCAGTAAGAAGGCGGGGGCTGAAAGCTGAGGGTGTAGGTTGGGGGGAAAATTAACCGATATAAAAAAAGTATAAAGGAATCATGTCAAAAGCCAGATGTGCCCAAATGTGAAATATCAACTTCTCTATTTGGATGGTAACCAACTACCCTGTAATCAGATTCAAGACCCACAGCACGGGGATGGAGGGGATCAATGACTGGTACTGTAGACCTGGCTAATAACATACAGGGACATAAACCTCCCCTTCTGATGAATATTGGGGTAAATGTAGAGACACACAGGGGCCCAGGATGCACAAGTAAGTGGTGGTTGTGGGTTCCCTAAACAAATCACTTAGTCCACCCCTTCTAAGGCTCAGTGACTCTATGGTGAGAGCATGAGAAGTACATAAGTGCTAGAAGACTGGGGAAGGGATGTAAACTCCATTCTCTAGACTGCATACAGTTATGACAATCATCAGTTCAAGTCAACTGTAGTTCCCAGCACTGGGCCCATCTAAGACTAGCCCAATTGATAACCACTCAAGGAAGTGGTAGGGGCTTCCAGGGTGCCACGCTTGATCTCTTGAAATATTGGCTATTGATAGTTTCAGGATTGGGAAGAGGAAATCACTGTCTTTAGTTGAGTATCCACTGCTGAGCCAACCAGTGTCCAATTTACACAGATGGTCATTGTTAATCTTATTGGGTTACAAAATTAAGCCCATGGACATGAACATGAGAGACAGATTTGTGAGGATAGCCTAGGGTGTCCAGTGATGGCACGGAGGTGAGAGTGGTTGAGAATGTGCAGTTTGCATGTAGTATATCTGAAAATTTGTTTTTTTAAAAACGGTATCAGGCTGCCTCCATGACTAGGTTCACAAGGAGACTAAGACAGTAATTTTTCAGTGGATTGTTCATGACTCCAAGCTCACACCAAGGCTCTGGGCCAAAATATATTATATGAGAGGTGCTGACCTGGCCCTGCTGCAGAGGAAGTGAGTCTACATAATGGTCTGGGCATTCAATATTTTGGTACCTTTCTAAAGTTACTGATCTGCATACAGGGGCTATCCTGTGTCACCTTCTGAGTCCCTTTGGATAAGGTTAAGAAAGGTCAGTACAGTTCTAAGATGAGATGATAACTTGGTAGAGGGGCCTACCTGGAGCTAGATGAGGGTACCTGGGGGAGTCTCAGGGAACAGTTGACTTCCCAGGACCATAGATAATCCTTAGAGGCACAGGGAGAGTGAAGTAAAGTCTTTTGATCTTTCTCACCCTTGGTAGCCTGTTAAATGTCAAAAAGAATTAGAAAGAAAGAAGGCATCCTTCTCAGACAAAGGCAGGACATTCCAGGACTGAAAGTATTGGCTTTTGTATGTGCTGTTATGTTGGGGTCAGTGCACAGATTTAATTCCCAAGCTTTAAGAAAGTATCGGAAGAGAGAAATAATGAAACAAAGAGAGAGAGTAAAGAAGAAGGTAATGTATAAAAATATTTTAAGCTCTCCACTCATCGAAGAGAGCAACACCATCCCTTTCTTGCAGACAGATTTCTTTATTAAGATTCAGATAGCCATACCCCAGGATTCTGGACACTGGCCCAGACACAGGTTTTGTGTTCTAGGGTTGTTCTAGGAGTTTCATTGTTTTCTGAATCCAAGGCATAAAGCTAGAGATTCTTGTGAATACCCGAGGAGGTGTATATGGACAGAAGCGATAACTGACAATGCCCTGGGCCACTCCATCACACACCAAGGGTCCCCCAGAGTCTCCCTGTGGAAAGAAAAAGAAGAAATATTAGTACATAGTCTCTTTTCACCTCTTTCCAGACACATTTTCTCCCTGTTCTTCTCTGTTCCCACATAGGCCTGGGTTTTAGGTGGGAAACATTAAGTGTGCCCATTTATCTCAATTCTGAATAAGACCAAATAGACAGATTCTGTGAGTCACTAACTAATGTGTCCCTGTCTGGCCGTGTCCTTCTTTCAGGTTAACTAGACTTAGCTCTCCTATTTTCCCATGATGAAAGGACAAAAGATTGGTTAAGGGAAAATGCCAGATCCCCATATGTTGTTCTTTATATATTCTCTAGACTAGCTGTGGTTGTAGAGCTGGAGACCTGGCTGTGTGTGTTCAGTATTTCTTTGGCCCTTGGAAAACATTTGAAGATGCTTATGTCCTTACCTCAGAAGTAGACTTTCGGTTATTGGGATTTCCCACACATAGCTGGATGGAGTTGTTGTAGTTTGTGGACCTGGCATAACACTTCTGGCCGTTTTGAACTTCTTGATCCACTTCTTGAAGTGTTTTAGGTGAAATACAATTGGGCAAGATTCCCCAACCTGCCACTGTGCACACCTGCCCAGGCTTCACCCGATCATGGCTCTTTGGAAGAGCAATAGTCTTCACAGCACTATTGAGTTGAGCTTTGTGTTCCAGCTGGTCAGAAAGATGAAGAGATGAAGAATCAAAGTTCAGATCTGGCTCTCTCAGCAAGCTTAAACCAGGGATGAGGCTGCCTGTATCTTTCCCATTTTCAAAGACCTCCCCACCCACTCTAGGCACATTCAACTGGGGTGGGACCAATAGATCATCCACCTAGTAGAGAAAATAGAAGTAATACACTAGTGATCTAAGGGAGTAAACCAGACATCAGTAAAATAGTACCTTCAGGAGCATGATGTCATTAACCCAAGTTTCATAATTATAGTTCTCATGTGGTTTGGCTTTAAGGACGGGAATGAACTGGGTGTTTTTCCATTCCTGGATATTGTGAGCACCTAAGGTTACATTTATATGGCTGTGAAAAGAAGATTGGTTAAGTAAAACACAGGAGCAGTGAAGAAGTCCTTGAAAGGCAGGTTGAGGGCTCAGCCTAAGGCTGAGTCAAATAGCAAGACATTTATGGGGAAGTTCTTTCTTAGGTCTGCAATAACAGCACAGCCATTCAGACCCTTCTCTGACAATATCTGGTCCTAAATTGATTGGTTTTACAATCAATTTAGGTCAAATAGGATAGAGTTGGCTTGTGCCTCACCTTTGACTCTTCATGTTTAGGGACAGCCAGGATCTGTTGTTATTTGATCAGTCCCAGGCTTCAATGACCCAATTGCTTCTCCTTACCTTCCAAAACAGTGAGCTGCTGTCATTACGATGTCTTCTCCCACCAGGAAACCACCACAATTACTTTGAAGTGAATTGCTATCATAAAAACTTATGTATGCCATGTAGGGCCGGGAGTGAGGTTTGGACTCTTTACCCCATATGATTTTTCCTAAAAAAGAAAATTTATTCTGAATCTTTGTGCTCATGGAAACTGTGCAACAGTCTTGGAGGCTGGAATAAGGGATATTACATGTTTGAAGAGTCTGTAGACCTGATGTAGATGGAGAAAAGATGCTTTTGTAGGAGTGATCACACAACAAGAAATGGTGCTAGGATGATGTGAGGGATCACACAGAGTCTGCTGCATGACACCTCACTTTCCCCTAGTATCCAATTTCTTTTTGTCATCATGATGGTGTCAAGACTTTGCCTTGAATCAAATTAATCTCATGTATACATTAAGGAAGAATTTAGCACACGTTGTCCAGCAGATCAACACACTCAAAACAACTACAGTTATTCCTGTGTCTCATGATTCACCTGGTGGCTTTCTCCCTTAAGCACTGGGTTCTGCTCCAAGTAAGCAAGTTGGATTATTGAGGTAGAAAACTCTGGCTGCTTTTCCTCTATTCTGATTCATGAGACATAGTAAGTACTTCCTTAGAGATGAGATTGTTGTATAAACACTGAAAATCTGTCAAATGTGCTAAGCAACTAACTGGGAGGAGGCTTCCTAATGTAGTCTGAACTTCAGCATAGATTTGTTTTCCTAAGTTGTTGAAATAGCCTTCAGGATGAAGAAGAGAGGACACAGGACTAGTAGGATTGTAGATAGGAGGGGAAATGGATTGGAGAATCCTGTGTCTGCCTGTTTCCATCAAGCTGTGGAGAAGGGATGGAGCCACACTTTGCTGGTTCTGCTAGATTGTGGGTGTTATGGTAGACCTGTATGGTTTAGAAGAACAGAGATAAGATCAAGATGACACCTAGAAACCTGAGTAGAAGAATTCTTCTTGTCTTGATCCAGGTGGCAACACCTTGATAAAGCTGCTTGGTCTTAGGTTTGTGCAATTGGAACTTCCAGCCCTCATTTTCAACTGCAGCTTTCCAGTAGGGTCCTATGATATTTTATAATTTGTCACTTTTAGATGATTTAGATATCACCAGGTACCACTGCAAGTAGTTCATTGTAATTTTGGTGCCCTATTTATCCTGTGCTAGAGCTGGGGCTCAGCTAACTTCTCAGATGAACCAAGTCAGGAGTAGATCTTAGGTACAGCCTGACTAGGTGCAATGCAAGCAAGTGTCAGTGCTAGAAGCCACATGCCACAACTCTAGGAATGTTGATGGTTGCTTACCTCCTTCAATGTTGACTGGTAGGACAGCCAGCAGGAAGACCAGGAGGAGGAACATCCTCTTCAGGGTCTGACCAGGTCTCAATTGGTCACTTTGTCATGTCTCACAACTTTTAAACCATCAGGTGAAGGAAGATGCTCAGAGACAGAGACCTCTAATTTCCTGTGTGATAGTTAAGATCTGAGATCTTGCCACATCTGTGTGGTGAATGTACAGGAAACACACTGCAGTCAGTTGCTGGTGAGCATGACCACATTCCCCACATGGATGCTGGAAGCTGAGAAGGGTAGAAGAGCCTATTGAGGCCTTCTAAATTAGACAGAGGGCAAGTCTCCTCTCCTTTCAATGCTCGGAGAGCTGTAGTAAGATGTCTCCTGTATTGAGTTTGTGATCAGGTAATTGTCTCATTTAAAAAATAACATCTCTACATCTCATAGTACTCTCTTTTGGGAGGATTTTTCCTGTTGTTTTTTGTTTTGTTTTGCACAGGACTTTTGGTTTCAGATTTAAGTTGGATCATATATTAACATACCAAGAGATTTGAACACTTTTGGGATAGAATGAATAGTAAAGATTTAAGATGAAATGCTATTGGGATGTTGATGACAGTGTCAGGAGTTAAGAAAATGACTGAATGGGAGCTGTATAGGAAGGGTTTGACAGGCAAATGGTCAGTGTCCCATGCTGTAAGTACACTGTTGTCTTCCTCATCATGACATCTCAACGATCTCAAATATTTTATCACCAAAGTAGTTAGTGTCACAAAAGTAGAGACAAATGGCAGAAAGAAAACTGTGCTGTTGGCGCTGAGTCTTGGCATTTATAGTGTTCTACACTATCAAGGCAATCTGGTCCCCAGCGAAGACTGAATATGATGTCGGCAAAGCTCTTTACTACTCACTTCTCTGTCTCTGCTGTGCAATTAGCTGTGGTTCATTTTGCAGTTCTCTATATGCAGATGCCTGGTTGATGTCAGCTTTTCAATGTAAAACTCAAGTCCGTTTCTTCTTAGAATGCCAGAGTCAACGGAAACTACTGTTCCCAGCAACCTTGTCATTTCATATAAAACAAGGAGACTTCTGATGCAAGCTGTATGTTGTCCTCATACTGACTTTGCATCTTCTGTCATACCGAAGCTCACATATTCAAATACATTCTCATTTCATTGCCCTCTCAGGGGATACTACAGGGATTATTGTTATTATCTTATTACTCTGTTACTTTACTTGTATCCTCTTCTAGTCAATTTGCAAATGATGAACACATAGCATAATGACAGAGTAACTAGGAAATATCTGTGTGATACTATACATCTGCTAATACAAAATCCATAAGGCTACACACAAAGAAAATAAAGATGCTAGATTATGATGTTACTCCCACAACCTGATTATCATGTGAATGCATCTGGTCCTGTGCTGTCACAATTTCCACTTTTGATTTCTTATATCTTGATAATGCTATCACTTTTTCCTGGTAGTTAAGTGTCTTTTGAGTCACTGGGACAGGCTCTTGGGCTAGCCTTCTTCCTCACACATGGCTCACAGCCCCATATCTCAGGGCTTTCTGTGAACTAGTTCACACTGTCAAGTAGACACAATGTGAGCATCCTTCCTGCTCCCAGAATTTATCGCTGTTCTGACAAAGGGCTGGGGAGTCTCTGCCTGTGCTTGGGCAGCATGTGGGAAAGGAAGTTTGTTTGCTCCTGTGAGGATTTCACTGATAAATGTGTAACTGTGCATTAGGATTTTGTGAGTTGAAAGAATGGAAATAAATGGGGTTAATCTTTTAATGGGATAGTGTATGTTTATCTACAGTAAGGTCTGGAAGGTAATGATAGAAAGGCCAGGAAAGATGCATGAAAGCAATGGGTGGAAAATTCTCATGTTTGATGGAAAAATGAATCACTGAAGTCCTCCCATGGATTCCAGTTGACTGTTTGTAGGATAAACTCAGACAAGTGTCCAGGCAATGCAAGCTCACTCTTGTTGTGTCTTACCTTGCTCTCTCTTTTTCCTGCTCATTCTTCTCTTGAGATAGCACTTCTAGGTCCTGGTCATTCATGACTTCTGTTTCTTTGCTAAGATCACAGAGGAGCAAGAGGCCCATGCTAGGCTTCTTATAGCTACACTTGGAACTTCTCTTCCTGGGCTTGGAAAGCTGAAAGCTCACCAGGAAAAGGAGCCCTTAGCAGTACATTACCTGAGCAGGGGATGGTGTTGCCAACCATCTCCTGGCAGCAGCTTATTTCACTAAAGATATGATCTTTTTGTATTCTCAGAGTCTGTTTAAAATTTTCAAAAAATATCACCAGTGTAGCAAAAAGTAGAAAGTACAAGTTTGGTAAATATAGCTGTTTTTATTAGTAAAGTGCAGTCTTCTACAGCTATCAAACAACATTGTTCTTAGACGTTTTTCATCTTTGTGTATGGAAATACTGACCATGTATGATAATGCTGCCCCATTGCTCCTTCTGTCTGACTCTGTTTGTGTCATGATGAATCTGTGGGAGACTTGCATAGACACCAGCATCCTGAAAAGGATGCTTTCTCATGATTCATACATGGTCATTACTTTATTGGCCATCCAGACCTTTGTAGATAGTAGGCAAGACCTATGCATATTCAGGACTATGGTGGGGCCTAGAAAATGAGGAGATTGTAAAAACCAGATCAAGAACTGGGGAGAGGATGGGGTATAAATCCAAAGCCCGAGTTCATCCTTCTGTCCTGAAACCCTAGGATGACTCTTCCAGGAGGAAGTTGGCCCAAAATGTCCCCTAAGAGCTATAAGAGATTGACTTGCCACAATTTTGTATGTTTTAGAAGAAAACAAGAGAAGCAATGGTTTGTTGTTGTTGTAATCTTTTTTGTTTTTTATAAGTGGGAAATGTATGTTCACAGACTTAACTGAGAAAGGCCTAAAGCCTTGCACAGGTCTCTCTTCTTCTTTCCAAGGAATCTTTGGTTCTGCTTTCCAACTGCTGCCAGTGCCTTTGAGCTCTGCTCAAGCAAGCTCAGAAAAGCTATGCTGGATTTACCCTATGCTGCCAACTGATGATGGCCTTTTGAAAAGTGCTGATGCACCTCTCAGGAGATGTGAGAAAACTGCTTAGGATGGGGATCTCAGACCTGATGAGAAACAAGGCAGGTTGAGGCCAAATTGTCAGGGGTTGCCAAGCTCCTGGAAGTCCAGTCATGCTGGAAACCACAAAGAATAAGGGATGAAAGGGGAAGCTGTCAATGGGAGGGCACTCTGGCTTAGATCATAGCATATGTTCGAAATTGTGGAGGGGCCTTCTATTAGGTGGCATCTCTGTATGACGAAGGCTTCACTCCACTTCAGTCCTTGTGGACCAGAGATTAAATACCTTTTGTATGAAGGAATGTCTAGGAAGGAAAGATCATTGGCTAAACCCTCAGAGTTCATCTAGATACCTCCTTAACAGTAGGTTTCAAGTCAGTGAGAGGAGAAGAAATAAGTCAGTTTTATATGAGACATCCTCTCCAGGTACATAGTAAAGCTGAGAAAGCATGATGAAAAATATTTAATTGGAGGAGCATTGGCTAAGAGTGCAGATGCAGACCAGGGATCAACTGTGTTCTTGTAGTCACTTAACAAGGTGCTGTGTGCTCAGTTCCCTTCTGGGCCTTCTATTTTCATGGAGGTGGTTAGTGTCTGTTGGGCCTTACAGTTTTCTTTTGTAAGCCATGCATATTCTCATTAAGTAAAAATGGAGTCAGCAGGTGGTAGCTCAAATCCCACACTTGAGAGACAGAGGCAGGTGGATCTCTGACTTCAAACTCAGCCTGCTCTATTGAGTGAGTTCCAGGAAAGCCAGAGCTAAGAGAATTCCTGTCTCAATAAACCAAAACCCAAACCAAAAACTAACAAACAAAGAAGCCCTAGCAAATACTCATGGTTTTCTCTGACTTAGTGGAATGGGGTAGGTATCTTGATTCCGTTTTCCCCTCCAACCCATGTAGGCTGTTGCCCAGTTTGAATGCTTGAACATGATAGAATCTGAGTGGCAAGTAACTGGTCTAGCAGGACAGTCCTGTAGATACCATTTGGCAAGAAGTTCTGGAGAGCCGTGAACTGCGACCTGGGAATCAACAGTCTTCAGGGGCTGCTTGATAAGAGAATCTTTAGTACCATGTGCTCAAATTCTTTTGTGGTAAGGATACTCCAGCAAATAGTGTCTACGGTAAAATGAATGTCAAATTTGACTGGAGTACATTTTATTGGCATCCGAGGGAAAGAAGAGTATTCTGAAGAGGCTGACAGTTTGTCTAAGGATTATGGTAGGAAGGAACGAGTGAGTGACAATATTGTAGTTTTCTAAAACAAAAGAAACATGTCATTGTATTTTACAGAATAGAAGTGAGGTCTATAATACTTGTATATTTACATATTGAAGCAAACATTGCATATATTTTGCATATTAAGATAACAAAACAGATATGGCACAAAACATAAATTTATAATTAATACAAGAAACGAAACAAATTGCCACATCATTGTAGTGAGAACTATAATTTATATTTTTTACATGTCAATAATTCAATTTGTTCTACAATTAATTACTTGTGTCACAGAAAGTTACTGATTATTTTTAATGATTTTTTTATTTATATATATATAAAAGAAATAGTATATAAGACTATAAACTTTCAAATAAATTCCTTTCAGAAACATTACATTGAGGTAGTAACATGTGCATGCATAGTTATTTATTATATATTCTGATACTGTTTTTCACCATCTATTTTGTTCAGCTTGAGGGTTAAGTTTCTATATATATGATATCTCTAATATTAGGAAAATGTTACAGTTTATTTTGGTTTTCTAAGCCCGTCAATGGTTCAGCATGGAGCATGGAGTTTTATCCCATGATTATCTCATTAGAAATATGTACCAAGCCGGGCGGTGATGGCGCACACCTTTAATCCCAGCACTTGGGAGGCAAAGGCAGGCGGATTTCTGAGTTTGAGAGTTCAAGGCTAGCCTGGACTACAGAGTGAATTCCAGGACAGCTAGGGCTACTCAGAGAAACCCTGTTTTGAAACCCCCCCCCA